TATATATTAAAAATATATGTATACGTATACACACACACACACATATATATATATATATGTGTATATATATTAACATTATATATATAAATATATCACATATATATGTATATATATACGTACATGTAATGATATGTGTGTTTGTGTGTGTCTGTGTGTGAATCAAACTAGTTTAACATATTGATTTTTCAATAAGCTTAATAGTTGTCCATTTTGCACATAGCTCAAATAATGATTAAAATTTTCTAAAGGGGGTCTAAGACGTTGAGTTTTTGTCACACAAATATCAAGCTATGAGGGCGTTCCGTAGGTTCCTTCTTGACCTTGATACTCTTTTATCATGCAATACAATATACTGAGCTCTAATTAGAAATTTTTGCAAACATGGTTGGTGAAGTCAACAAAGCAACTTGTTGAAAGATTGTTTCAGGTTGAGAGTTAACGGAGAATAAATCCTAGATTAGTGAGTCAAGAGGTGTTCTTGCCAGACTCTGGATGACTGTCATAAATTTATCCTTAGTGGGTAGGCATGTTTTTTTCTAAACCTAAGATAACTTGAAAGCACCTCAGCATAGTTATGAGGATAAACTGAGAAGACATTGTTGAGTAGACGTTAGCCTGGTCCCTTTAATCATGGATTTCTAAAGATCTCTATAAGTTGGCAGAACTCTAGCAGCCAGTTCATGGCAGAATGTAATTTTTGACCGAATTGAGATCTATGACTGTGAATTTCAGTTGCATTTTCCTGTTCCTTCATAGTACGTACTAAGATGAAAAAAGTCATTTTACAGAGTGATGACTGTGAATTTCAGTTGCATTTTCCTGTTCCTTCATAGTACGTACTAAGATGAAAAAAGTCATTTTACAGAGTGAAGACATGCTCTGTGTTGGTGTTGATCAACCATGATAGTGCATTAGTTCAGATTTGATGCAAAAATTGTCAAGTGTTTGTGCAATGTAAAAAGCTATTAGCAAGAAAGTAATGCAGATCAGGTTAAACTATAAGTTTCCAGCTTTCCTTGTATTTAGACCAAGAACTGATACGCAATTCCCAAAAAGAGATGAAATAGCTTCGTGTCAAATGGCATTAGGCAGCTTTTCTTAGGCTTCCCCATTGCATTGCTATATTAGTCATCAACTTTGCCTATGGCGACTATACCTAACCCATGATGATTTACAAGAAAATTTGAATGCTCTCTTAGAAATCATATTGCGTAAAATCTATCTGCGAAATAAAAACAAGTAGTCACATGAATGAGCTTTTAACCACTGCAGTTGAGAGAAGATAGAAAATTTAGCTTCTTCAAATCACAGTATTCTTTTGAATTGTGACTCTGAAAAAGTTGGTTCTTTAAAGAGGTAACCACACATAAATTTTTTCAGGAGTTCATTTATTACATTGCGATTATTTTTCCAGGTAAAAGATGAGTATCCTATCCAATTTATGTTATATTTACTTGATCCTGTACATTGCCAATATCTTCAAGGCTTCAGCATAGATCCTCATGAAAATTTGCATGTGCTACCATATAAACATGTCTCTGCATTCTGAAAGCAATGGCTACAAGGACCTATGGTACATGATATAGTTCTACTATGCTACAGATAGTTGCTGAAACAGTTGCAGAGGTTGGGGATCCAAAAGAAGCAATATGTGATGCAGTGGAAAAGTTTAATATCAATCTTCTAATATTGGGTAGCCATGGCCGGGGGGTCCTGAAAAGGTAATTATGTCAGTTATATTGTTTTATCTCCTTTTTCTGTGTCTATCGCATCCTTAATTGATAACATTGTGTAAACCTGGCAATGCTAGAAATTAAGCTACACTGATGTACAAGAACCTAGTAGTTAATATTCCGTGGTGTCTTCATATCATATGGCCAAGAATTTGCGTACCCCCTTTAATTTGCCAGAAAACTTTTACACACTGAAATGGGAGAATGGTGCAACAAATTTTGCACAGTGAACCGAGAGATTACCGCCTTAATTTCGCAAGACAAGATGGTAATAAATCTGCATTTTATCTGGCTTGCCTGATTATGGGCGTAAAGTGATCCGAACTTAAACCAATAGAGAAAGCAGAGCCCAATCAAATAAAAAATCTGTTGTTTAGTGCCCTATTAAGACCTAGACTGGACCGTGCTACAATAAAACGAGCCAGACCTCACTTGTGTGTTTCCTAATGATAGGTTCTTACCTACAATTGGTCTAAACCAAAGGACTTTATGTGGATGGCTTTTCTCAAAATTTTGAGTTAATGTTAGCAAGTCTAGCTTCCTGTTTTTTTTAGGAAGTATCTGGTGGATCCAATCCATGATGTTAAATGTGCACCAAAAAGATGTTAACTATATGATCGTGTACAAATTTCAAAGTCTAATGATCCTAGTGTTGGTATTTTTTGGGTGCGCATTTAATGTTATGAAGCTGGGGAGCATTTGATAATTTCTTCCTTCATTTTTATTTTGCATGAAAAAAATGTAAAAAGATGAGAGCTGCGGGGTTGATATGGGTGTTAGTGTTGCTTTTCTTAAGGTCAAGGAAACAAGGCCATTCAACGTAAAAGGTTATAGCCTTGAGATGAGTCATGCAAACTAGTACATCTTATATGTTGGCTTTGGTTCATTATTTATTTGAGATTCATGAGAAGTTTCACCATGCATCATTGCTTGTTTGATTATTTATTTGAGATTCTTGAGAAGTTTCACGATGCATCTTGAGAAGTTCCATTATTTATTTGATATTCTTGAGAAGATTCTTGAGAAGTCCCTGACTACTATGACATGTGCAACTTGAAATCTAATCAACAATCCGCAAGATGAAAATGCTCACAATCATGAAGAAAGAACACCAATGTTTACGGGGTTTGGTCGACCAACTTTGATTTGTATTCACAGGGCGATAATACGAGAAATTTTATGTATTAGGAAGAACTATTAAAAGAACAACTTAACTCTCGTCTCTCAAGATTTCGAAATTCTCTCCTAATATTGTAATTTTTTGCATAGATAAATACTACGAGATTCTTGCAACTTGTAATCTTTTGCACAAGTAAAGATTAGGTGACATCGCTTTTCGCACAACATTCTTAAATTAGGCTACGCCTTCTGCTAACTCTAGATTATAAGAGTATAGTCTTTCTTCTCTCATTGGTTTTTCCTTCCAGGATTATATATAGGGAAATCAAAATTCAATCTTTAGCCTAATTTCCTAAGGAGAATAGGACATAAACTCCTTATTAGGATGGGACTCAATCTTCTAATTATAATAGATATCTAATCCTATCTAACTCTCATGAAGTTATATAAAGAATCAAAGATATAATCCTAACAATATTAACTTTGTAGGGTTTAGTAATTTGCTAAATTAATTATTGCAAAGGGTTTGTTAACAAGGGCTCATGTTACTGTCATTAGTCTTGATTTCACAAGTCAGCCATGAACATAATGTATGTTAATGCTTTGAGCATATTATGAATGGATAAACCTGCCCACACTTTTAGCATATAATTTATTACTAAAATGTGTAGTTGCTTAGCAAAAATTAAGTTTTAAATATTTTTATAAAATCTTTTTCTAAGATATGTGATGTGGTGTTTGTGAATATATCGAGATTACATATAGTACAGAAAACTGTCAACTCCCACGAGGAATGTGTTGTAGGAATTAATTAAAAGTGAATCTTAAGTTGTGTGTGTGATAATTAGGAGTGATAAATGTGTGATTGTGGAAAGATAAAGAGTGTGGATGTGACAATATGTAAATAAAAATAAAATTAGATTGAGAGTGAAGAAAGAAAGATGAAGAAAATAAAGAAAAATAAAACCAAGAAACAAATAAGAGAAAAATCAAGAATAAAGAGGAAAATCAAGAAAGTAAAATATTGAGGAATCAATTAGAGATATGAGGAATTTGTAATTGAATCCACTAGCCAATTTTAATTATAAAAATTATGGATTATTCTTTTTTATCGTATTTTACTTTAGATTTATTAAGCATAGACTATCAAACCACTTAAGGAAAGTATAACATATCAAATTATCATCTAAGCAAAATTAACATTAGTGAAAAGAACAACTAGATAATAATTTTACAATTTCTCCTACCAATTAGTTTTCTAGTTAATTTTTTTTAAACATGATCATTTTAAGCGCAAGAAAGTAATTCCCAATTCATAAAAGAAATTATACTAGTTTTATGCAATTCTAAAATTCCTACAAGAATTAGTCTCACATCTTAGAAAATAAAAACAAACAAACAAAAGGGAGAGAATGAAAATAAAAACTTACTCCAAAAAGGGTTCTAGCCTCTAAGTGAGAATGAAAGGAAAAGAATGAACAAAAATAAAAACTAATTCCCAATTGGTTTTAGCCTCTTGGTGAATAGTGCAAAATAAAATAAAATCTAAACTATGCTAACAAGTAAATCTATACTACAAAATAATTGTATGAAAATAAAGACATGAAAGTAAATCTATTCTGCAAGGCATGGAAATAAATCAAATTCAAAAGGGTTCTAACCCATTGAATATCTAAAGTAAGAAAAAAATATTACAAAAAAAATAAAAAGATAAAGAGAAAATTTACATTCTAAGAGGGTTCTAACCTCTTGATGAAGTTAAATCTTCATGTTGATCTTTATCTTCATCAAAACTTTTCCATCGTCAAACAAAGAGAAGAAAAGAAAAGGATGAGGTGGTGAAAAAATTATTTTATTAATTATAACAAGATATTATAATTTTGGAAGGTCTTCTTAATTAAGAATAACCCAATACTCTAAATGGAGTTTCTACATAAGTTTTTTTTTAAACTTAAACTCCCTCACCCTCTACCCCTATTTATGGCCTAAAGCAATGAATAAGAACTATTTGATTTTGTTTGGGCAACAAGGATCAAATCTTAGTCATAAAACGAGTTTGTTACAGATAAATTGGTTGGCCAATTGGTTAACCAATCGGTTAGCCGACCAATTGGAATTAGAAAATTTTAGAAATGCAGCTAGCTCCGTCTCGTTGAGATATGCGATTTTCATATATTATATGTTAAATTTTACCTTCCGGATTGAGAGATATTGTCATTTTTTTGTGGCTAGTATCTTGAACATGATTTTCACTTGTTTTCATTTCATATTCTATCCTTGTTTCTTCGGACTGTATAGAGTGTTTGACTTGATCCTGTGCTTTAATAAAAGGTTAAAAAAATGAGGAAATTTGAGTTTTTTTAGTTTTTATTTATTAATCTACAAATTAAGATAAAACATGATTATTATTGTATTTTTATTTAAACAAAATAGATAATGAGGGTATAAAAATATAATAATAATGTGATTATCAAATACCTCTATACCTAAACTTTTGCTAGTCCTCTAGTAAAGAGAGAAATTAAAAAAAAAGAATTTTTTAACTCACTTCCGTAGGAATCGTGTTTGTATTTAGTGTATATAATAACCTTTAAACTCTTAGGTGACCCTAGAGGACGAGTTGTAGTTTCGTGAGGGCTTGTAGTGAATATAGCCATAAAATTCGATTAACTTGCCAATTTAAAGAAGTTAGTGAATAATTAATTTACTTGATATATTTAAACATTCTAATTGAAGCTAGTTTTTTCTTAAGAAAATATTTTTATGTATAGGCAAATCTCCTAGATAAATCTTTTCATTATAGTTATACAAAATCAAGTCTAACTTAGAAATTTAATTTAAAAGTTTCGAAAAAAAAACATGCTAACTCTTTGTTTTAAACAATTTTTAAATCTCTTAATTAAAATTATTTTTCAAGAACATATATATAAATATAACTATATATATATAAAGACATTATTAGTGTATCTTTTTTTTTCACTATTTATCCCTTGGTGTTTGTTGTTCAACTTCATCAGGCTTTATAAGTGACCATTTAACGAGTTTTGGGCTAATGAATCTCAGTCCAATTTGGCTTAGGTCATTAAGCATGGAAATACTCATTGAGTTTAATTACTCGGTCAATTTAGGCTTATAAGATAGAACCACCTTGAGTTTTAAGAGAGTTTTTATTGGTGCGGATTTTTCGCATTCTTCTTTCGCAAAGTTAGTTTTTTTTAATATATATATTTGTGTGTATATATATATCTTTAATAAATTGAGATCAAGACATTGAAAAATTATTTTCTTCTCTAAGCTAAGCATGCAAAAATTTTATTCCTTTAATTAAAAGTCTAAGTCAAGACTTTAGTAAAGTATACTATTTTTAAAATTAGTTCTTAAGAATTTTACTTAGAGTTATCATAAAAGGTAAACTTGAGTATAAAACTAAGAATTAGAAAATTTAAAATTTATCAAATAAATTAATTATTAATTAACTCTATTAGTTTAGCAAGTTATAATATTTTTATGTTTTTTAAAGGAAGATAAAAATGACATGGCAAAAAGGAAGAAAAATTAAGGTATAGAGAAAAAAAATGACTAGTCTCCACCCATACACCTAAATTTTATATTGCCCTCAATGTAAACTCTATAATGCACAAAGTAAAGAAGATAAGAGATTAAGCACTTACATTTATTAAATTTTATATTGTCCTCAATGTAAACTCTATAATGCACAAAGTAAAGCAGATAAGAGATGAAGCCCTTACATTTATTCAATCGATCTAGAACAATGATGAAATGATAAAAATCTGCAAATACCTTTGGTATGAAGAGGGTAGAGTCAAAATCTCTTCTTTTTTTAATTGTTTTTTTCATCTCTTTTTTTC